ATGTGCAATTCTTAGCAATGTGCAATAATAAGAGGAGTGATTATGGTAAATGATATAAGTACCAAATTTTACTTTTTCTAAAAACTTGTAAAAACATAAAAAAATGCTAATTATTTACTTGATGAAAAATTACACAAATTTTCCAATAATTTAATGTCTGGTAGAAAAGCTAAGTAACTGACTCAGGAGTTTCTACTTATTCACTGATAAAACTCAATCACGTTTGCATTTTAGTAAAAAATATAAGCATCTTTGTGAGTTTTACAGAAAAAAGTGCAAGTGCCATGAGCAAACATTACAAATGAAATGCACACTCTTTCCACTTTCACAATTTATAAGAGAACACTGTTGCAATAAAGTATACAATTTTGCTGTCAAATACTTTTGTAAAACTAATATTTTTCATCCATGAAAGAAAGCATTACTACAAGACCCTGTTTCTTTTTTCAAGTGGTCGTAAAATAAATTTTGAGGTGCCTTAGATCTGAGGTGTTCTGTTGGAAGCCACCAATCATAAAATTATCAGACCCAAGAGTAATTCTAAGTCACAATGTTCCGATCTCCAGACCTGCAAACTCTTCTAAATGGGCAATTGGGAAGCAGAACTAAAATTTCACTCGCTCTATATAACATGAGCCCACCTCTTTTTTGTTCATGATCTCTTTGGAAGACAGTGTAAACTGCAAACAGTACAAAGGAGACTGGAATGTCTACATGTAACCAAAATTCCAAGATAATCACAATATCCGGATTGACTAGCAATTTTAAATAAAACTGATCATGTTTAACCATTATAGATGAGATATGTGTATACATAATGTTGATATTTATGGCGAAATCTCTGCTTGGTGCTACCTCTATTTGTTTTCCTGCTTTTTAGTTACAATTTTTGGAACTCCCCTGTTATGTTCAATAGATTTTGCATGTGCACAACAGACATTTGCTTATGTGGATAGTTTGATTAAAGTTTTTATTTTTGTCCCAGTTTCCTTTGGTAGCTTGCAGTCAAAGTTAAAACAGTACATTTTCTCAGAAGATTTGTAAGCTTTGTGACCGTTGGCAGAGCTATTTTAAGTTGATTTGAAAATTCTTAATTTTTATTTTTCCTTGACACCTTTCAAAATAAAATATTAATTTTTCTTGAGTTCAGGTCAGCAGAAAGAAAAAGTAGCCTACTTCATTTCTTTTGTTTTTTGCCAATTTTTTTGCTCGAGCCTTCATCAGGGCTTAAAAATTGACGTATGCTCATTTTTTTTTAGCCTTTATCACGGCTTAACAATTGACTTACACTCATTATTTTGAGCCTTCATCAGGGCTTAAAAATCAATTAAGCAGTAAATTACATAGATTTCCCCCTCACTTTTTTACTGCAATCACTGTTTACAATAGTTACCTTCATTTATAATATTATAATTTATAAATAATCTTACACGGTAAGACAGTGTTCTATGGTACTGGTCTGCAATGTATTAAGATTCTGTTAAAATGTCATTAGAGGCATAATTTATTCAAATATTTTTAATGTGAAAAAGAAAAAAGATTTCTAGTTTGCTCAGATATTATTTTCATTTATTGTATATTTGAGTGAGATACAATAAATGAAGGTGTTCAATTTTTTCATGGGGGGGGGGGGGGGGGGGGAGATAGTAGTTACATAATAAGAGCGCGAACTGGGGATTCAGACATGGGTGAAACAGACGTGTGGGAATCACCTCAGCTGTGTTGCTTACCTATTTTTTTACATGTCGTAAGAAAATGCAATCATCAGTAAAGGAAAATAATTATTTTACCTTCCTTATATAAAAATAAATGGATTCTAGTCAATGTCATAACACTATTGCTTGTAAACAAAAATCAAAGATGTCTTCAAGACAAAATTGTGAATAGTTACAGATATTTCACACACTGAGGAAAACAACAGTTTCGCAAATGGAAAACTAGGACAAAAAACCATGTTCTGTGCACGGCGTATTAAAAACAAAATTATTAGAGGGTTGGTAGGTTAACAATCTACTCACGTTTCAGCTGGCAATACATCCCATCCTGTAATAAGTATTGATGGAAGCATCTCGAGAGTAATAGAAACAGAACACATCCGGCAATGCCCAGCTGTCAGCCCTGGGCCACCAGAATATCGAAGTTTCAACTGACCTTCTAATACCTAAGCACAGAACCAAAAACTTTAACATGGATCCTCTCATCTTCCTTAATCTTAAAATTACACAATTAAAATTAATACAATGATGTACAATGCACGTGCTAGCGGATATTTTGATTATGACTAGAGAACAGAATTTATTTAATAAAAACGCAAAAAATGTACGTGAATATGCATTTATTTTTTCAAAATATGCAAAGAAAAATTCAAACTACGTAAAATAAATATTTATAATAGTTTAAAACTACCCCTTAAAAGAATTTTCAAATTTGTGAACACAAATTGTGGCGATTAAGACCTTCAAATGTATTCACAGCAACTGAACGAACAGAAGTAATTGAACTTGTCTTCAACAGACAATATAAGTTTTAAATTAAACTTAAAATATGTATTTAGAATATTATTTACAAGAAGCATACAGTCTCACTACTTTGTCACTGACAAATCAGAGGGTAGTAGTAGGGGTGGGGGGTGGGAAGGCATATGGGGACCATGCTCCACTTAAAACCAACTTTGTTTATTTTGCTTGTGCAGTTTTGTTGATAGAGAGGTCCTAAAGTTTGAGTTCCGACAGTGGCAGATTTATGACATTTTGAGGTCTCTCCTTCTGAGCTAGAATGGTTTCCTTCTGGGGAAAAAAATGAAAAAATAAACTTGCAAGCCAATGAGTAGGTGGGAGGGTGGGGATTTATGAACAGGATGCACATTTCACAAATATATTTCTTGGAGGGGTGCTGGAAGCTCAAGAAGTCTGTAAGAAATGTTTGTCAAGTTTCAATCAACATACGCATGAGCTCTATGAACTATGACCATGCTATGTGGTTACTTCTGCTTTGAAAATATTAATTCATTTATCTTTCCGAATAAGCAATTTCCAAAAAAGCCTGTAGGTAAATTTGACAATTTATGTGCAGAGCTCATAAAACCAGAGTATTACTCTAGTAAGAAAGACGGTTTTAGAAAGATTTATTTGCAAAACATTATTTGAAATAACCCGTACCATCAAGTAAGTGTGTTAAAATGTAACAAAATATAGTATAGTAATAGGTCAAATATGTAATTATATCAAAAGACGTGAAAATAATTAAAATGAAAAAGGTTTAAATACATTCAAAATGTGATGCAAACTTTAAAAAAGAAATAATTTTATATGAGTACCTTCTACAAGTAAATATTTGTATTTGCAATAAAATCCATTCTCTAGTTATTCATTACTTGGTATTCTCTCAGAAAGGCTTGTCTTGAAATAATAATATTACAGAAAAGAGAAAAAAATATTTTTCCTTTTTTATGAAAATTGAATAAATATCTTATTTAATTAATTATTATAAATTCTTTTTCATTAATTTTTTAATAACATTATTTTTTTATGAAGTCCTGATAACTTTATTCAAAAACTTATTTTAAACAAAACAAAACAAGAAAAACATTAAAATTCAATTTAACTTGAAAAATTAATTTCTTTATCCACAAAGATTACCTTAGGTGTGTTGGGAGAGCTAACTTTGGAGCCAGGGAAACGAGATGATCCTAAGCTACTCCCAGAACGACTACTACTCTGGGATCTGAAAATCCAACATTATAATTAATCATTTGTGTATTGAATCTATTTCATTAGTGGCAAAACCATGGTCTGAATATGAGGGTAAGGGTATTTCCAAAATTCTTGACAATAATTACAACAGAAGCAGAAGGAAATGAAATTTGTAGTGCCAGCTTCTCCATGAAATTATCTTTTTATAACATTTTTAACTACCAAAGACTTTTTCCAACATGTTCCAATAAACAAAAGTTGTTTTTTTTAAATATGAATTATCTATAAATGACTAAGATGATCAATTACATTGAAACAGCTATCCCAAATTGAATCATTCATATGCAGTCCTTATTTTCTCACATCACTATGTTCTTACATAGAAAAGAGAGAGTATTGTAATACTGCAGCAGCAATCAGCAATTTTTTGACAGAAATACTTGTATTGTAAGGGCCTGGAACTGAAATGATGGTTAAATGTTGTTCTTATATGTAGCAAATTACTTTCTCTAGCATATGTAGTCAGAATCCATGGTTTTCGTCTTTGATATTGAACACATCGTTCACCACAATGGTCCTTGATGCTAAAAATGGGACTGACGGCATGCTGGCCTCATGTGCATGTGTGCGTGCGCGTATGAGCCTATCCCGTTTATTATTAACACTTAATCCATTCAGACATTTTCCTCCAAAAATTGATATTCTCAATCAATTTAAATGAACTTGAGGCTTGGAGATTCTGAAATGGATGTTTTGACTTTTCACGTTGGCACTTAAATGCATAAAAACATTTTTCTCTAAAAAAATGTCTCGCCTAATTTTTACTTTTTTCCTTACTGCTTATGCAGAATGCAGAAAGTATTGTAATTTACAGGAAGCTAGGAGCTACAACAGCACACACTTCCTTGCATTATATCTAACGGTTTCCAATTAAGAAAAAAATCTCCATCTTCAAATTTTAGGAAGCTAAATTTTTGACTTTTTGCAGATTTTAAAAATAGAGGATTTCAATAATAATGAAACCAACACCATTCTTTTGACACTTTCACTGCCAAGCACATTCTCACTATACTACACCTTGGTACTGTACAGGTTTTTCACATACTATGTCTCTCAGCCAACTGTAATTGATTCACTACTATACATGCTAGAACATTGAATCTATTTAAGACCATGAACCAGTCGTGAAGGAAAGTGGAGAATATTTATATATTATATAAAATTTATTTTATTTACAAAAATGTACGAGTCCATATGGACTCATAGGAACGTTTTAAGGCTGTTAACACTACGCGAGTATTATCAGAAAAGGAACAAGCCAACGCACACGAGTGTATGGCCCATGCTAAAAAAAATTGACCTCCCATCAGTCCTGCATGGCAGCCAACATGTAATAAAAAAATTGGAGCCATTTTTGTGAAAAGTTTGAAAATTTAATTGAGGATTCATGTAAAGTACCCCCAACACTAAAATATCTGGTTGAAACGTGTAAGGCCTTGAGCTCCTTTATATTTATTTAGGAATATCAATTTTGGAGAAACTCGACTGAACGGTTTTGGCACTTGTGTTGACCACAGATAGGCAGAAGAGCAGACAGGTGTTTTGTTGTCATTTGATTTCTCTGTAACAAGAACCCAAAAACATGCGATTCTGACTACACAATGTGTTACAGGAAGTAACTTACTATCCATAGGAACAAGATTTATCCACTTTTTCATTACTAGGGCCAACAAATAAGAGTTTTCTGTAAAAAAAATAGTTTTTTGGCACACAATTAGATTTTTTTTTTTTTTTTAAATATGAGTAATTTTTTGCATAATTTTAAACTCTTAAACATGTAGATGCAATAACTTGCCTGAAGGAAGCCGTAAGATCATGTCTTCGAGCAGGCAGAGCAGGAGAACTAAGACGAGAAGGTAATGAACTTGGACCTGAGAGAAAACTAGCAGGTTGGCTACTCATAGGAAGACTACTGGCAGGCAGGCTGCCAAGTTCTGTAACAAAGAAACAAAAAATTTTTTGATACTAGGCATATATTTATAACTTTTTATGTTTATGTATAACTGGTGGCAGCTGGCAACAAGTTGCACTGCTATTGAGCAACAAATAAAAATAATAATAAAAAATGTATTTTCCTTCTTTATGTTGGAGATGGGGTTAGAGCCAGACTTTTGCGTAGTTGCTTTTGAATTCAGTATACACAAAGTTTTCAGTGTTTTTCAGCTCCTGACATTTAGAAGCATCATAAACAATTGACAACAAGGTAATTCTTTTAATTGAAATTCTAGCACTTGCAGAAATATGTCCTTTTACAGTATTTTCTTTTCTGAATACCATACTTACATGCTATTGACTTTAAGGCTAGAACTATGGTCTATCAGCAATAGATGAGTTGTTGTAAGATGGAAACAATATCACAGCAGTGCATAATAGAGATAACGTAAGGAAAATATCATGATTTCAATACTTTCTTACTATTGCCATTGCATTCTGATAACATGCCCTTGATACCTGACATGTTCATTTCTGTTATGAAAACACCAGTGATCTCATCAGTAGGTAATTTGCTGTATCTCTGTTTACCACTAAGAGTTGGCTATCCACAATATCAAAGCAACAGAACATGTTTTGTTACCTAATTCTATTTCAGCTCCATTGAACCAAATTACAGAGAACGAATTACTGGTGTTGTTGTTTTTCTCCTGTTGCAGTTACCGAAAAAACAATACAATTGCTATAATAAATTTATAAAATTTTGCACAAGCTCTGGTAATGTGTGTATAGAGATTCAATTATTAATACAGTATTATTATAAACCTAATGAATGATTAGAAGGATTTGAGGGACTTTAGAGATGCAATAACCTTTCGACTCAGATTTGGAATCATTCAAAAAAATTTAGGATTTGCCACATCTCTACATCATACTCACCGGCATCCATAAGACCTGGAGCAAGAAATTCAGAAGCTGAATGCAAATAAAGTGTCAAACTGGCAGCACTTCCAGGAGCCAAAGGAAGCTGAGTCTGCAAGTTTTCAGCACTGAACTGGAAAACCTGTGCTTGCAGCTGCGAGTCGAGTGGGGAGGAAACAGCAGCCTCTAGGAGTTGAACTGGTTCTGTCCCTGTGCTTCGCAACTGGATGCCAACCTCCACACTACACAAATATTTTCAGAAAAGTGTTCATCACTGACTGGTTCCTTACTTTGTCACAACACACTGATCTTTCAAAGATAATAGGTAAGATCCAGAGCAGTTGAAACAGAGTATTAATTCACTATTAATTTAGAGTAACACTACAGGGTATTTCTAGAGTGCAGAGAAACTTGAAGGCTTTTAGGATGAATTGTTTACAAATTATTTCCGCCATAAACACTGAATAACTAAAATCTAACATTGTCATGTTTCATCAACTTTTAGTTCCTATTCTTCTTCAAATCTTTCAATCAGAAATTCCATTCATATTTGATGAAATAATTTATCATAAAACAGTTGATTTACCTTCATTAGTAATATGAAAGCAAAGGAAACAAATTGTACTTTACTCATGGCGTTGTTACATCATAAAATACCTTCTATCATTTTTCTCGTCTTATTAGCTTGGTTTGAGGAAATGTTACTTTCACTTCCAAATTTTCACATCTCAACATGAACTAACATATACTCGACACCATTCTTCTTTTTATTTTTTTCATTGTTCTTTACTAAAATTAATTTTAGGAAGAAATGGATTTCCATTCCTGGTGTTTTAGTTCCCAATCAAGATTTGAACAATTACAATACTTTCACCATTTTATTTTTTTGTAATGAGGAAAATTAACAAGCATATAAGATAATTAAATATGTTAAATTGAAAATATTAAATATTGTACAAAATTTCTATTACATATACTTAATTTCCACATTTCATTAAAAATGAGTATCTTTGCCTTCTTAACATTTCTTTCCATAGCAAAAGCGTTATCATCTCGGTTTGCTTAACAAACTCCAATTACCTTTGGCCAGCATACAATGCTAAGCTAAGGGATGATACCACATGAGCTGTGGTTCCCAGACATGATGGGCTAGCTGAGGAAGGCGCCAAAGTGCCGGCAGGAGGCGAGACTGTCACAGTGAGTTGAGGCAATGCGGGGACCACATCAACTTGCAGCTGAGGGTGCGGGAAACCAGGCAAATGCTTCAACCTAATGTTAGACTTCACGCCTAGTGTGTGTGTGGAGAAGCCTACACCAAAATAAAATTGATGAAGTCTCACTTCCAAATTATCACATTATCTCTCCATGAATTAACAATCTCTAGATCATGAAGAAATAAAAGATGTCATCTCTGTCAACTTAATACTGTAGATCATTCTTTTTTCTTAAATGAAGTTATTAGGTTCATAATAAATAATATATAAACATAATACATATTCAATGTCAATGAATTGGTCAGTGTTAAGCATCAAGCAACTTTCTCGACTTTGTGAGAAAAAAAAGTTTGTAAAGTTTAAGAATCCTGTATTCCTACAGGATGATGCTCACAATTTCTTAGAATTTTAACATTAATTACAAAGAAAAATTGCTGATTTTTGGATAGGTCTACTTCATCCTCAAACACATTAGGAGCAGAAAGATAGTTGATTTTCTAAATTTGGGTTTTATTCTGTTGATGCATAACGCCATCCAATTGTAATACAGTTTTTCAATAAGGAATGGATTCACTTGTAAATAGATCTCTTTACAGTTATGAGAAACTGTATCTGCTTGGTTTCTTTCTGAAAGGCAACTTATTGTTTCCAAGTTCATGAGTTAAATTTCTAGCCCAAAATGATGGACATTTTGGATACAAAAATAGGTAATACTTACCAAGAACTTCTAACTCTCCAACTTCTTTAGGAATACCACACAGTTTAGCAGGATGTGGACCAGAATCAGGAGGCAGTGCAAGTGATGTAGGAAGACTTTCAAAGACAGCTCCACTTGTTAATAGGCGCATGTTTGACACCTTGAGTTCAAATGGCAGGGGATTGCTTAGCTCCAAGGACACTTCACAGGTGTCTCCAACTACCCACTGGTAATCTAAACAGAAACCATACATATTGTGGAATCACAAATTTACTCTTACACCAGTGTACCTTTTATTTTAATTGATCTAAAAATGAAAACTTGGTGCTTGCTTGGGAGTGTCATTACCAAACACAGGCACAGAAAAGAGAGGTAATGATGAGGCACCACCTTAAATAGTTTTAAATATTAAGAAGAAATGAATAAGAATATAGAATCCATGTAGTATTATATATTTTCTATTTTAAATTATCGTGCCACGTAATTAGTCAACGTAGTTGAACATAGCGGGGGGATAGCCCTTGCAACGTTAGGAAGGGGACATGAGAGGGGGAGAGTGCGCTGAGCGGCAGTCAGTCAGATAGCGATTGTGAGTCGACTCAGTCGGCAGACAGGCAAGGCCTTGGAGTGTGCTAGCTGGGTGCATTTTGTCTTGCCTTAAAAGATGTATTTTGAAGCAGCTGTGTTCTGATTTTTCTGAGAATTTCTTCTTTGCTAACCATTTTGGAGGAATTCTGATTTTAGATGTTAAAAGGAAATGGTTGGAATGTACATCGGCATTTCTGTATACACGTGTTTCTAAAACGTTCAACTTCATTTTTTGGCTCACAGTTATATAGTCTACTAAAGATTTGGAGCCTCTGGCTGCCCGCATGTATTTATGTATTTCTTTGGGTTTAGAGAGCATATTTGTTATTTTCAGTTGATTGAAAGCTGCAAAATTCCTAAATGTTTTCCCATTCTCATTCAATGTTTTTTCTTCCAGTATATTTTCCATTGGCTGGTTCACTACTCTAGCATTAAAATCACCACATAACATTATGTAATCATTTCAGTTGTTTTTGTAGGGTTTCATAAAATTCTTGACTTAGTTCTTTCCTTCCTTCTCCTGGAGCGTAAATGCTGAATATTACAAGGTATCCTCGTGTTACTTTCAGTCAGATGCACATACTTCTTTCATTCACGAACTTATAACTGTGTATTTTTTGTTTTCTCGATTAGAATTGCCACTGCTGCAGATGCTCTGTTTGCTTGGGTCACCTGAGTAATACAATAGATAAGTTTGTAGGTACATGCTTCCCTTCAACTTTTTCTTTCTGTTATAGCTGCAATATCTACATCTAATCTTCGAAGTTCACTAAGTAGTTCCGCTTCTTTGTGTGCCAATCCTTGAACATTCCATGTGGATATATTCCATGATTCCGAGATCTTAACTCTTTAACCTTGTTTTTATCATTTATCGTCATATTAGATGACGTCCATCTTCGAGGATTGTCAATAGATATGTGTCCCCTGGCCACGCTACGAGTGCTGCACAGAGTAAGCATGGTGAAGGGGTTGCATTCTAGCTGCATCCAAGCTTGTAGTCTCTTGTAATAATCCCAAGTGAAGGATAATTAGAAGAAAGAAGATATAGAAATAGTAACGTGGGAGAAGAAAAGTGACTTCCTAGGCTTTTGAACTCTAATCACTTTGGAGTTGAAACAAGCAAGAGTTGGTCAAGGAGACTGATAGGAAAGGTATAAGAAATGTGGTGTAAGTAAGTGGAAATAGTGCCACACTTGAGGTAAAGGCAGAACAGATAACACCTGTGGAGGTTGGGAGAATGTATTGGTCAGATACTGGGAAAGATAGGACGTTGTGAAACAATCATTTGTCTGACCCCACCGTCAAGACCTTTCTGGCATTAGAGACCCACCAATAGAGTGCTAACCACCCTACCACCATCATAGCTCTTAACATCAACAGGGTGCTCAAACCCACACAGTAAGTGCTACTTTAAGACAGTGCCTTTGGCAGGAGGCTAATGTAAGTAAATAAATAAATAAAATAATGAAAAAACCTACCCATTTTGCTGGAAGCCCCAGAACGCCTCTCCAGGGAACCAAAGTGGATAGGAGTAAAAAGAAATGGGCCTGAATCTTCTTGTTGTGTTTCCAGTTTCTGAGGTCGCAGAGGTGCTGGTAAATTTTGAAGAGAGAAACTTCTGTAAAACGAAATTGAAAATTTAATCTCAAATTTATTCTAAAACTGATTCACTTCATATTGATGGAATTAAACTCTTCCAAAACTTTATAGAAATATGATTGTCAGCCTTTCCATCTCACTCATTGTGTCATCTGGTTAATTGATGCTTTTCAGACAATAGCCCAGAGACAAAATTTTGCTCTAATAAAGTGGCCGTTGGAACTCATGCGGTGCCGGTGATATGCTTGCAGAGGATTTTGCCAAAGGGTACACTGTAGAGATACATTTATTGTTGAAGTATGTACAGAACATCTCTAAGGTGGAATCCAACTTCCTATGTGATATTGGCCTTAGCAGCAAGGCAAATGTACGGTGCTTATTTGTAATTGATATTCTTAGATACTTGTGTATTCTATCATAAGTTTATACAATCAAATGAAAGAAGGTAAAAATAAACTGACTGAGTATCTTTGATATTGCAATAAAGCAGTATCAACATGTTGTGATCTACTACTCAAGTTATGGCTTGTAGAGGAAAAACCTTTTGGCTGATATTTGATAGCGCTACCGCTAGCTGTTAGATAGCTGCTAATATACAACTGGTGACAATTCTTTAGAGAAGAGTGAGATAGACTACTAGAGTTTAGAGCAAACACTCTTAACTTAAAAGATAACTTACAAGTAAAATAGCAAGATTCAAGAAAGATGTTAAGAAAATTGCAAATGCATTGAGTAAACTTTCAAAAGATATTAAATCTTGCAAGGATGTGCACATTGGGAAAAGGTGTGACAAGATTGAGTCTTCATAAGGAACGATGGAAAAAAAGAGTAATCAAAATGTAGAACTTCAAAATATGATGGAATAAAACATATCATGGAATAAAACAAAGAACTCACTCTGAGATCATTAGAGACAATGAGGAGCAGGAAGTGGTTGCATGTGTTGTGTTGGAATCTGGTCATTTAACTATCTACATTTCTTTAGTAAGGCGTGTACATCTTGTAATCATTACTGTATATCTTGTTGCTAATTTGTGTAAGGGTACATTTGTAGTGTTGTTGTCTATGTTTTAACACCAGCCCCAAGGACGGGATAAAAATATTCCGAAATGTCAACGAAATAATGTTTTAATATTTCTAACTCACTTTGACCAAATCCTGTGACTGACATTTCCTAATTACACATCATGGTCATGAATTCCACAATGGTAGAATTAATTAATTTAAAGTTGCTAATCGATAATTCCATGAGCCAAACATCCCTTTCTCCAATCAAAGAACAAATTTTCTGAATATTTATGTTTTTTTCATTTAAGAAAAAACCAAAATTAAATGGATAATTCAATTCAAACGAGTAGAAAATATTATACTTCAAGTTCAGACTTTCTCAACTCCATTGCTTTTTGAGTGGCAGTGAGTGGTTGGCATTCGAAGAGCTCAGAAATTCACCCATGACCTGTTTCAAGGAGGGGAAGGGACTCCATGGCAGGGAAGAAGGCTTCAGGAGGGGGACAAGGGGATGAGAGGACAGTGGGATGATTAATCGCCAACCACCTATCTTTCGCTTTCCAAACTTTTGTAAGTGCTGAAAGTGATAATTAGGGAGCAGATTATGATGACCTAAAACATCACCAAAAATGATCAATAAAATGCTCTTAAAATGTTTTGAAAATGCCCTAAAAGCAAAGAAAAATGACATAAAAAATTTGACCAAAACTAGTTCAGATCGACAACTCAAGCTGTTGGATATGTTACTGATGTAATTGAGGCTCCTTCCTTTTCTCCAAGAGAACGTAGCTTGCAAACTTTGTGTTTGGACTATTCTTAACCAGGAAATCTATGTCTTTAGTTATTGCAAAATTGGTCGAAATGACGATAGAGCTGAAAGGCATAGGAACTTTCGACTATTTACACACAACAGATGACATCACAATTTCTTCACTCAGAAATTGAATAGGTTACTCAGGAATTCTGTGGAAGAGATTTGTTGCACCTAATAAAATTATTTGAACAAGTATTAAAACCATATTAAGATTGGTTAAATCAGCACAAAATGCTTTAAAAATGTAAAAATTACTAATCAGTCGAAATCAACAAAAAATGCAGAAAACTGTCAAATAAAAATGGATAATTCCTTTTGTTCTAACATAAAATTAATATCTCTACTCAAAGGATCGTTCTAAAAGACAAAGAGAAGAAAAATAATGACATTTCACTAAAATCTGCCCTCTAGTGATAATTTATATTACATTCCGCGAAAATCATATTCAAAAGCAATATATTATGCTTAGTGATTTTAAGAACATGGGTGTTGATATTGAACTTCTTGCAACTGTTTTTGCAATGGCGATCATAAAATTCAGATCAAAATTGCAAAGAGAAGTTGCATACTTGTGGATTGACACACACCTAAAAATAATAGGTGTGATAAGCTTGATTCATAGTTCAAGACAATCAAAAATATTCATTTACAGAAAATATTTTTATATGAATTTGGAATGAAAATTTTCCAAATACTATGACAGATTTTTATTTAAAAAAGCATGAAGCTTAAGCAATTAAAAAATAGAATTTTAAAATCACATTTCATTGTCATTGTGTGGTGTGGTATGAACACAACTGAAAAATTGATTTTTTGTTTTCTATATTACAGTCAAATGTGAGCTGTATTTAAAATTAGCATCATCTTCATGTTCCTATTCTTGTATTTTTCCTTGTAGTACTCTAGTCTGCGTTTTTGTTTTCTATAATCATGTATATATAGATGTAATAATGTGAACTGAACTTAATTGTAGTTTCAGTTATTGAGTTGTAATTATTTACCTGCAAATTTTGTAATCATTTGGACAAATTGTCCATTACATTGAAAATAAATACAATAAATAAATAAAATGATTGTTCAAATGTTTTACTTTATTTTCTTTTTTATTTTCCTTACTTGACAAAAACCTTTTCTTAAATTGAACAATTCTTGAATAAATCATGAAACAGACATATTTTTTGTTTAAATGTAAATTTTTATTAAAATGTTTATGTAATTTAACCTTTTCACTGCTACAGACCCCACCCAGTGTGTTGCAACCTTGTGCTGACGCACCGCGGTGGCTGGCAACCACTCCGTGCGGCACATTTTCCTGGTTGCACTGGGTGTGCACTGGCAGTGTGTTTGTGGCACCCCAAGACAAACGTGCATATGTCATATCCTTCTTGATATGGACTTTGGGCTGACACTGGCAAAGTTATTAATATATATTCTTGTGTTTTGTAGTTAATTTTAATTTTTTTTCATTTAAACATATTTTTATGCTCTTGAAATGTGACATGTTTTTTCCAGAAATATATTTTAAAACAAGTGTTACATGAGGCCCTCATTAGCATTTTTGAACTTTTTGATATTATTGGGAATTTAGAAATTAATTTTTGTGTGTTACACTTCTAAACAGCGTAACACACTGCCCCACATTACATATTACATTCCTCACTAAAGTATTATAACACATGGCAAATAATAAAGGCAAGGATCATTCCTCTTTCACAATCACGTAAACACTAAGAGTTTCATTCAAACCTGCTTTGTTTTGAAGTGATAGACTGTTTGAAAAACAGCTGTTCCTTGAACAAAATTTGTCTTTCATCGATGCACAACTTCCTGAATGGGGTAAGTTTGCAAAGCTCCGACCTATGGCATTTACATCTATTTTGAAAAGGCAATTGCTGCCATGTCCTACATTGTCGTTGCAGAAATGGAGCATTCTCAGTGACAACAAAAACCTATCTCGAGACATTATCAACCCAAAAATAGGCGTTGAATATTTGTTTTGTGAGTTCTTTTTTACTCCTGGTATGAGTAAACTATCAAGAAAATACTATCAAGAAAACATGCATTTCATTATAAGACATATTGCTGTATTTTACAAGTCGTGAATGATATTTTTCAGTGATTTTACTTTTATTGACAATAAATGGTATTAACAACTCCGTGAAAAATCAATAAATCTGAAATTGAACTAGCTTCATTGAGCCCTGTTTTGTCTACAAAAGAAGCCAATATTCTTATAGTTAAACATAAAAAAGAACAAATTCACTGTAAGAAATCTTAATACAAAGGAAGGATGGTACTTTGTACCCGAAAACTCTAGAGAAAGTTTTATGGTCATTCGGGAAGGGCCTCCTTCAAGCTGTGTGCCATCCCCTCATGAGTGGCAAGGACCACCACACATCTATCTATCAGTTTACAAACATTTCAACTCATAGCGAGAATAATTTCCACTTCAGCACTTTCTGGGAGGGTTATACTGATCTTGCAACCGTTACTAAACGAACAGATATCGGCACATATCCTTCAGCCAATCAGGAGAAATACAGCCATGTGAAGTACAAGACTCTTAAAGGCGGCATTAGCACAGCATAAGTGACTCCAGGATGACTGAAGGTGGTGTTAGCACACGGGGCACAAAAAATCAAGACGCCTACAAGCATCATTAGCAGTGAAAGGTTAATAAATGCCTATAAAATACCATTACACTTGTTGCAACCACTTCACACTTTCCCCTTGCTGGGAACATCAGCCTGTAGAGTTCAAAGCGTGTGCAAAACTCTTCTTCATCCCCTTCTATCTGAGGGCCTTGCCTACTCCCCCTCCATTGCCCTCCCCACCCCAAGCATCCAACTCCCATGATATTTCCCCTCTCAGCTCAAGAGTGATGGAGCACTCTCGCCAGAAGGCAGTTAAGCAGACCTGTTTTAGTACTTTAAATACTATGCATGAAAAACTTTAAATGACACATTTTTCACTTCAGATATTCAAAAATAAAATAACACCTACCGAACCGATGGTACACTGGTTAAGTTGGCAGGTGGCACAACCTGTCCTGAATCTAAGACCAAGGGAACGGGTGCACCTTCGCACTGAGCTGCAAGTGCCTGCAGTTGCATTGCAAGGTCACGTCTTTCAACTAGTGACAAGTGACCCCACATACTTTGTAATAGAAAGGTCATATGCCTTGTAGCCAATGCTGGGAGACCAGCACGTTTTGCAGCCACTACAAGTTCCTGGAGTAACTGAACTTGCAGAACTGGCCATCCTTGAACACCATCTGGATACAACATTAAAGGAAACTACCAAATCAAATTGCTTATGATAGAAAGACTTGGAAAGGTTAGATATTTGACTCCCACATAAGCAACAAATTCAAGTTAAGATTATCAAACCATCGATTTCAGGATGCTAAATTAAATGTTAATTATTAAGATAGATCACCTAAATGAACAGTGAAAGAATTTTTATTTGCAGTATCACAATATATAAGAATTTCTAACAATGTACCTGCAGGCAATTCGGCTGGATCCAAGGAAAGACGATGACCTCTCAATGCTTGTAACATCAGCTGATAGCAATGGGCCCAATTCGGCTGAGGATTCTGAGTAGATACATGACGGGTGGCTGCTAAACGCCTGCAAAATGATGCCTTGCGTAGGAAACCAATTTGACAGTACAAGTCAGATAAACTTGTAAATCGCTGGATCTGAAAAATTAATAAAAGACTTTGTTGGTTGGAATATAAAAAATCATTATCAACCAGGACTGGCCAAACTTTTACATACCTTGAGCCATAATTGTTCACATATGAGTTCAAATATGTCTTGGAACTTAAGCATAATTTCTAACTTCTTATGTTAATGGCTGGAAATAGGGAGAGGGGTAGGACCTGCTCTATTTAGGATCAGCAAAGGCATAACTCAATCATGCAACCAAATTAAACAATGTACATCAATTCAAACAACACACATGGTTTTGGAGCACCAATTACAATGATACGAGATCTCTTGGATAAGAGGGTAATTGCATAGACCCTGACATTGCTACATCTACTAAAGAGGTTTGTTTGATGACGATATCCCTGCATATAACAAAGGAACGGAGAACATTCTGGTGTTGAAATTATGAATATGGATCCAGTTACTCTAATGGCACCTACATTAAAAGAATAAGTACATGCAAAGATGCAATAAGTCACTTGGAGTAATCCAACATACCACTTTATGTGCATTTGCAACAGAATGGTCATTCCTGGCGTAGACTATTAATAATTACAGAAATGCATTCAATTACGAAATTTGAAGATTGTTTAGGAAAGTAATAGCTACAAAATTCATCAGCGAAGAATACATTTTGCAAGATAAAGTACATTTAAACAAATGTCAATGCAAACATTCTACAAATTACCTGAATTTATTTAGAAAAAAAGAGGAAAAATGCTAGCATTCCATAAAATTTTAAAAAAACATCTGCCTAGTTTATGAAAATTCAAGTTGTGGAATTGGTCAATTCTTTTTCCAATTTCAAACAAAGAAATTCTGTATGCTTTTATGCCTTATTACAACTGAATTAAAATATACAGTAGCTACTAGCTACTCACCTTTTCTTGTTCACTTAATGGTAAGTTGATGAAAATGACATTTTGTAGGAAAGATGCAGCCTGTAGTGTACAGCTCTGTTCAACAGCTATGCGAGCAGCTTTGAAACTAGCCTCTGTCTCGATAATACCAGCATTTTGATACTGTAACATTCACCCCAAATGATGAGCACTATGTTCTAGGAGACACACAACATCATTCTTCAATTTCTCATGTAACCATGTCACCTTGCTATAGTGGATAATAGCTTCTCGATATCGCTTCAGGACTTCTTCAGGAGTTAGGAGATTATTCATTTCTTGTTGTGCTTGTTGCACATCTGCTGGTTGAATACCATTAGGAAGAGAATTGGTAGAGATGGCACTACTCCTACAAATGAGATATTCAATAAATATGCATAATATCCTCACGTCTCAACAATATCTTAATTACAAATATAGTTCATTTGCACACTAGAATCTCAATTTTATGTCCTGAATAACCATCTTTCTTGCATAACCATCAAGCAAACCAGCCTATGAGGTCACAAGACCAACTCCAGGCAACACTTCCGTTCAATCCTCAATTCAGTATGTTCCCCATGATCACTCTATACATATTTTGAGACATTATTTGAGAGAGATAACGCTGAAATTTGAGGCTGAACAAAGGAAAAAGAAAACATTAGAAAATGCAGGTGATGAGGAGTGGCATTTCTGTATGGTCGGCACCAGATTAGTAGGGCTCTGGTCTAGCTCTCTGTAGCGACACGGGAAAGAGGGAGGAGAGGTCACAATACGGTGTTCTGCCTTTTAAACACTCAAAACCATGCTTGTTTCTACAATTATTTGAACACATTTTTTTCAATAAATCTCTTAAATTCCCATAAGGTAATATTGAAATTACTACAGAAGTATTTGGTTTGTCGTTCATGTGAAAATGAATTTCATGGAATATATAGTGGATGCTGATTATTGTTATCACTCTGGGCCATATGTAATATGACATGAAGTGATTGTTAACAATACATGAAAAATTCTAATTAGAAGAGTATCAAAATGTAGGGGAGACAAATGGTGACAAATTCAATCTTGATGAATTTGATGAAGACAATAAGATCTTGCAAATCATTAGGCTGGGTAAATTCATGTAGGGCAATCTCCAAAATCACTGACCAATTTTGATTGTTACTAAACATACAAATATCGCCAAAGATATTACGAGGTGTAGTAGGAAATTATCCCAAGGGCTGAGAGTGAACGATTACCAAACTTCTTTACGGAGTAAGGACTTTAAAGAAAGCATTAGAGATCAAAATTGATCAATAGGCAGCAAAACAAGCTAAACTTAGCTATTGGATATATTAGAGAAATCTTCCGATTGTGTCCAGGGAAGCAAACAAAGAAAGTAGCAACAAGCATAGTTGAACTAAATCCAACAATTATATACACTAGTATTTCTTTCCTCGTCCCAAAGATTGATAAATTTGTATAGGAAGTTGATGACATCCAAGCTGATAGAATATTTCAAAATCTTGGCTGAAGCCAGATATTACTGACTGTGATCGATATCCCTGAATAAGCTATCTGCCATATGACAGACTAAACAAACATGGAGGAGGTATTCGCATTTCCATTAGATTTTCAATAAATTAAATCACCGAGTACTTCCATAATGTGCAAAATCCATGATCCCTTTGTAGAAGCTTTATGGTTAAATTTGAAAATTGGGAACGTCAAACTTATTGTTGTAGGTTTCCTGGTTCCTGGTCGGAGCTTTATTGTTTTTGGCTCTCGCACAGCCCTCTTTAACATCAGCCGACTAATTCAGGTTACCATTCTTGCCAATATGTCATTCAAATCTTGTTGGTATTCCACTCTATTTTCTGCAATAATGTTTCGTAGTAGTCAATCCATTTTGTAGGAGTTATTATTTGTATTTGCTTCTGTACAGTTTTTTCTCGATATTTTTAAATTGTTTTTCATGCTTCAATTGGTCTGTTATATCCAATGATATCTATATCCTACATAACTCTCCCAGTGTCATTTTTTTCGATTTTTACTAATTCTTAACTTTTTCTTCTTTCTAACATATTCCTTTCGTGTGTCATCATTCCCTATTTGAAATCCATGCAAATATAATGTTTTCTTTTCCTTAATCATGCTTCCTAAATTTTCGCTAAACTTTCTCTACAAACTTGCTTTTCTTGCTCCACTCCTAAAACTTCTTAGCTGCTTCAAAAACAGCCTCTTTAAATGATTGTACATTTCTTCGGGACTTTTGTCTTCTGATTTTTTCTAGCTTATTTTAATTCTGTTTTGGTAGAGCATGTCAACACTGTATTGTTTTAAAAGGTCCTGTTTTTAAAATTTACACTTGTTCCTTCAATTAAAGCGTATTTTTCAGTACATTTCGTTTATTTCTAAAGGAAAAACATGTTTGCTCACTACCATAAATGATCAGTTCCACATTCTGGTAGACGGTATACTCCTCACATCATTCAGTTTAACTCTTCTCTCATTCTTCACCACAACTAAATCAATTACAGATTGTATATTTCTTACTGGATCTATTCGTGTATATTTGTGGTTTTTATGTCTGAACAACGTATCCCTTACACTTAGTGCATGTTCTTTACATAGGTTGATAATCTTTTCACATTGTCATTAATACTTTCCTCTCCATATTGACCTACTACTTCATGTTCTCTATTACCTACCTGCTATTAAAATCCCCAATTAATATATTTCATTTTGATGACGGAATACTCGGCTATAATTTCGCTGAGGTCTTGAAAGAACTTATTCTTTCATCTACAAGTGCATTATCACTTACGCATAGACCCCTAAAATTGTTATCTTATGATGAAAAACATTCATGTTATTCTTAGTATCCTTTCATTAATATTCTCTTCTGTTTAATGAATTTTGTCCATTTACATTTAATAAGGAGAGAGACTCCACTTCTAGCTGTAAAATCTTGGGTACACCACTCCAAATATGAAGATATTTATTCAAAATATTTCTTCCCCTGTCCCTTTTTTCTTCGTTTCCGTAAGTATATTATGTCCAGGTTCATTTTTTCAATTTCTGAGATGACCTCCTCTGCTTTGTTTGTTAGAGCCTTGTATATTCCATGTTCGCAATTTTCATTGTCCATTTTCATAGCTTGTCGTAAGTTTATTTTGGTCTGGGTCTGAGCATATTTAAATCGCTTTTGAACTGAAGTTTTTTTATGGAGCCGGGATGTTAGCCTGCGTCCAACCCATGTTTAATCCTGGAGGTAGATGTTTTTTTTTTTCAGGTTGTCATCCCTTAGGAAGGTTGGTTCCACTACACCTACGAAGGCCCCTCCCTCTTGGTTTTCTGTCAGGGATTTCCTTCCCTTACCTCATGTTCCCGTTTTAAGCGCCGGAAACTCGCCTTTTCGTCCACCCTTTTCGTTACTCTGTAAGGTTCTCACCACGGCAGAACATCCAGGGCCACACGAGGAGGTTTGGAAGGGACTTGATGACAGCCTTTCTACAAAGTTTCCCATTACAGGAGGGCTTTTCCTGCGTATTTAATGGTGTATACCTATGCAGCTCAGTATACCCACCAGGGCCGAGTCGTCTTTAGGACCCTTCCTACACTACAATTATGAAGAATTTTAAAAATGTTTTTTTAAGTGTGTTCAATTAAACAGTTCTTTAAAATAAGTTACTTGAAGTTTCTGAAATATATGCATAACTTTGTATCAAACATTACAACTTTTAATTTTAACACAATTATTTCTCAAAAACGACTCCAAATGATTTCTTTAAATTTGTTTCCTCGTACATAGCAAAGAATATAAAGATAGTACTGATAGTCCCTTTTTCAGTGCACTCTGTATTTTTCAAAACTTGCAAAAATAAATTGGAATTGTAAATTTGAATTTCATGTTCTAATGTTTAACATGAATTCACATTGAGAGTTCACAAAAAATCACAGTGCAGGGTTTCAAAATTTTCGAATTCATCCATTGTTGGTGGTCATGTGATGTATGAAGTAGATAATATTCTTATGAAGAATAGATTTAAGGAAGGTAATAAATTTAACTTGAACTAACACATCTTTTTCTTTATTAGAAAGACTACTGATCCTGACTACAAAATAAATGCATGTATGCACCACAAATGCTTTGTTTGATATCGCTTGAATTTGACTTTTAAGTTATAGCTGTTTTTTAGTGTGGAGAAATTACAATATTTCAGTATTATGTATCTATTTCTAATAATGCAGAAAATAAGTGCTGTGTGTGCTCTTTTAGTTTCATAGGGTATGAAGTCTGATAGTATAGGCCTTGGATCTATGTAGGTGGTCTTTAAATACCTTT